CTTGAACGTGGGCCCAGAAGGATCATCCACAAAGCATGAGTTTTAGCATGGCCTGGGATGGCCCCTACTCTGCTTCCTAAATGGAATGTGTGACTTTTCCGATACCCTGGCTGTCCGGTTTTCTCTGAAGCACTTGAGCTGAGCTGGCAATTTCCTACTCCCCAATCCTGGCCTAGGTGAAAGGTGGGATTTCATTTGATTTAATTGCTGCAAATGCTGACAACATAACCAGTTTGTGTGTGATACTGGACCACTGACCCAAGCCCTACCGCAGTCTGACCTCTTGGGTCAGATTCTCCATGTTTCATGTTCTCTTAGCCACATACACCCTTCTGCAAGTAGCTACCCAGCCAAGTCTTCATGTAAACCCTACGGAGGTTATTCTGTCTATTGTGTGATGTCTGTCACATACAATCCCAGCACCCTAAATGACTCCTGAAACACGGCACCTAGTAAATGTTTGTGTAACGAAGGAACAAACACATGTATCTCCTCTAACCCTTACAAAAAACACACGGAATCGCATATACCTCTAAGGGCTAAGGGGATGACACACAGAGAGCCCAGAGAGCCAGCTCCTGGGGGCTAAGCCCTAGACGACTAAGCAAGGACCACACATCTGTCCTGGGTGCTTGCTACCTGCAGAAATCTGCACCTCCCGCTCCTGTCCTACAGACTCCACGTCCACTCAAGCCAGCCTAGTGTGGGCACCACAGGACCCCATGCCAGAGCGGGCAAAGGCAAAATGCAAGGCTGTCAAGATACTTGGAAAGTCACAGACTCTGAGATCCGCATTCCAATTCAATTTTACCACTTCCTAAAAGTGTGATTTGGGGGTAAATCACTTAAACGCTCCAGAAATGATTCAGCTGTTGTGCCTCAGTTTCTTTCTCCGTCAAATGGAGCTATACTAACAAGTATTAGTGCTTAATTTAGCAATGATCCTGATCACAGACACTGCTCGAAGCACTTCACATATACCAACTCATTTAATTTTCACTATAGTCCTCTTAGGAGATAATGTTACTCTCAGCAGGAGTAATAATACTACCAGTAGCAGTACTGCAATGACCAAGAGTGGTAGTGTTGTTGCTATCAGTAGTAGAGTTAGTAGTATTATTACTATCAGCAGTTCTCTGACATCAGGAGCTATATTGCTATCAACAGCAGTAACATTATTGTTATCAGTGAAAGTATTGAGATTATCAGTAGGAGTGATGATCAACAGTGGTGATTAATAATAATTATTATTGATTAACTTAATAATTTTAATAATGGTTGTACTAATTGATGTGATGATTAATCGTGCTGTTATCAATAGCATTAGCATTGTGATCATCAGTGGTATTATTACTATCATTAGTAATCTGACGACCAGTAGTAGTATTGTTTTGAACAGGAGTATCAGTATTAGTGCCATCAGGAGCAGTATCATGATAATCAGGGGCAGTGCTATCGTGATGATAAATAGTAGCAGTACTGTTACTATCAGAAGTATTATTCCAGAGTCTCGTCCCATGTTCATAGAGGGGCTTTCATCATGGCACTTCCAGGGCATTTACCCCTGCCCTGCTGTCTGCCCTGTGGTCTGTGCTGTCACCACCAGGCAATGCTGCCCCTCTATGTTAGACAAGTGCACAGACTAGTAGAGGCTAGATAAGATCATGCTTTTCATAAAGCACTTTGTACAGACCCAGGATACAAGGAGCCATCAGCAGTAAGTGGCAGTTGAGTGCGCCTCATTCCCCATCTGAAAGTCATATGTCCAGTTTTCCTCTACACTTTTCTTACAGCTCAGTTGTCCTCTTGGGTACCACTCTCAGAGATGAACTCACTGCCTCTTCATGCTCTGAGGCTAGATTCCCTGGGCTGGAATCCTGGTGTTGTCACTCGTTGGCTAGGGACCTGGATTCTGTTACTGAGTCTGTTGGTGTTCTGGGCCTCTTGATCTTTGGAGCAGGGATTATAATAGTACACCCCTCCTAGGGCTGTCGAAAGGATGAAATGAGTTAATCTATGTTAATTGTTTGGAACAGTGCCTAGCACGTAGGAAATACAACAAAGGTGTTTGTTGAATAAATAAAAATTCATGAATTTTGAGTGTGCAATTTAAGCTGGCTTAAACAAAAAAGGATTTGCTTTGGCTCCGGTCTGGGGATGAGACTAGGTCCAGAGCTTTGAATAACATCATCGGGTGTTGTTCTCTCACTCTTGGCTGTGCTGTGCTTTGCCTTGGCTTCATTCTTGCAAGATTGTTCTCTCAAGGAGAAAGAGGGCCACCTGAGCAGCTGCATGCATTCACCCCTCCAGCACACATGTGCCTCTCCTCCCCAAGTTCAGCAACTCTCACCATGGAGCCTCATGGGCCTGGGTTAGGTCACCATGTGATAGTCCAATTGGTTAAGCCTGGCCTTGTGCTGTTGGCTGTACACAACACATAGAGGGGAGGTGGTGTCATCCAGTGGAAAATCTAGGTGCTGTTCTCTTAGGCAGAAAGAATGCAGGCTGAACAAAAGCAGCAGTGGTCTTCTCTGTTCTCATTCTGCTCACCTGAGTCCATGAGGGATCTCCACAGCATCAGAAACAATAGACAGTATACAACAGGAGACTCATGGGGATGGGCACACAGGATGATGGAGGCTAAGTTTCATGATTTGCTAGTTTCTAGTTGGAGAACCACAAAGGTTAATGGTACAATTGGGTCCAAGTCCATAGCTCTTACAACCAGGGGGTCCAATGGTGTAATTCCCAGTCCACAGCGGAAGGCTGAGAACCAGTGGCTCTGCTGGTCCAAACACCAGGGTTGAGCCCCACCAGACCAGTCTCCCGAATGCAGGACTCCCAGGGCTGAGAGCATCAGAAGATGGATTTCCTACAGGAAGAAGAGACAGGTCCGTGGGGAGGGATTCAGTTCTTCCTGTGCCTTTGGTTCTATTCTGGAAGGCCTTCAATGGACTGAGTGGTGCCTCCCCACTCTGGTGAGGGTGGATCTTCTCAATACCAGCCTCCCCCAGAAACACCCCACAGACATGCCAGAAATAATGTTGCTCCAGCTACATGAGTGCTCCTTAGCCCGGTACAGGTGTCACATCATTAACTATCACATCATTTTCCCTGGAGATTAAGACTACTCAAGATCATGGCCTTATTCACAGTGCTGGTGTTTCTGAAAGAATGTACTGCTCAACAGTCAGGACTTACTACGGAAAGGGTAGTAAGCTGGAAAAAGAGTCTACTGAATTTCCCACCCCGAACCCAGGGCTTCATCTCTGATGGCACTGTCTCCACAGGCCTGGCTACTCAAAGTTTGGTCTTTTCCCACCATCACCAGCAGCATCAGCACCTGCGAGTTGGTGCACATTCATTCTGCTCCAACTGACTCTCTGGGATCAGCAGTGGTTAGACTCACTTGGGGAACCCACAAACGATTCAGTGCCTCAGCCCCTGCCTGAAGACCTAGTAAGGGATGAGGTTTTAAGATTCCCTGAGGTCTACATGTTAAAAACGGAAGCAGCAGTTCTGCCTTTGTTTTCCAGAACTGTGGTAATGAAGTAGCACAAACTTGGCCCTGACTTTAACCAACAGAAATGTATCCTCCCACAGGGCTAGAGGCTAGAAGGTTAAGGCCAAAGGCCTGGCTGAGTTGCTTCCGCACGCAGGGTCTGAGGGAAGAAGTGTTCCGCGGTTATGGCCTCGCTTTCAGCGAGTGCCAGAAAATCAAGGAATTTCTTGGCTGATGGATGCATCACTCCAATTTCTATCTCCAGTCATCACTCGCTTCCTCCACCCCCAACCCCTGTCTTGTCTCTGTGTTCAAAGTTCTCATTTCTTACAAGGACACCAGCCATACTGGGTTAAGAAGCTTCCCTACCTCATCTTTCAAATTTCTGCCCTGGAGTGCCTAAGTCATTCAAATGGAAATTCAAGCTGCAGTTCTTTTTAACTCATGTTCCCTTCAAGCTGTAGTCCCGCAGCTTATGGAAACAAGGATCCACTAGTAGCCTCCTTACCTGTGTGCCTCTGGAAGCAAGTGTCTGTCTCCCCTGCCCCACTACACTCCCCAGGAACAAAAAATGCTTCAAACTTGGCAGACTGGCAAATGCTCTCAGGAGACAAGTTTCCATTTGCCCATCATTCTTCTCTGGGTAATTCTGACTGTCACATCACATTTCTCACTACAATTACTTAAAAACAGACAAAGCCACAACATGCCCTTGTTGGCACTTGGCAGGAACTCAGTAACTGATGGTGGAATTAGCTGAATCATCACAATCTCGCAAACAGGTTCCATTTAGGGGCCTTCCCTCATTTGCCAAGGCTGATGGTCTTATCTCTCTACCCACATCCTGAGAATGCCTACATTCTGCCATCAATACCAGCCTTTCCTCAAACTTCCCCTCCTTTCCAAAACTAGAGCCTTATAAGACTTGGTGTGTTATTTCTCCCCAACAAAGTAGAAATGGATTATACACACCCTTGTATCACCTATGGATTTATTACTTTCTTGTCATTTCTGACCTCTGCAGAATTCTTGCAATTTTGTCCCTCATTATAAACAGATTGAAAAGAAAGATATTTCTTAACTAGTATTTTTCTGTTTGATGTACTTGCAGGAGAAGTTCTCAAGTTTAGTCTGCCTTCTTGCTGTGTTCAGTTCGTTCTAACAAAACCTGATGTTTATTCAGCTCTTTAGAATTGACTGTGTGGACTGCCATACACATGAGCTGACAGAAACACTGGCAGCCTCTGACTTTACTGTGGCTAACCTCACAATGAGCAGAGGACAATGGAAACGAACTAATTGGATAGGATAGAGCCCAACTGGAAGCCAGGACCACACAGCTGCTTCCCCCTCTTACGTACGTCATCACCTCCAAATTCTGGACTGTAAAGTATACTAGGTACAGGAGCTAGGTTGGCCGCAGTGGGCAGCAGCTGGGCTCTGTGACATATCCCAGGCACACCTGTCAGCAGGTTTTCTGAAGTCCATTCCTGCTTACCTCACAACTTTGGTCCCATTTCTGACGACTTGCATGTCCACCACACAGCCCCCGGTCACATAGGCGGCAAGGTTCAGCTCAGAGAATTCAGCCTGAGAGAAAGAAAACCCAAAGAGGATCAGTCAGATCCAACGGTACCAGCAACCATTCACTTTTCCCTGAGCATTGACACCTGCCAAGGACACACGTGAACCTCCTAACAACCACGGAACATCAGTGATGTGATGCGATTATCATCTCCTTTTTGAAAGATGATAGAGCTGAGGTGCGGTGAGCCATGGTGACATGTTCACAAACACAATCAAAGCTGAAATTGGAGAGGGTATTGTGGCACCCCAGGTTCAACTGTTGCTTTGGAGTGCCTGGCTTGAGTTTCTGCAACCTGCACTTATGAGCCAGCCTCCTGCCAACGTTCCTGGGAGACAGGAGAGTCCAAATCTTGGGACTCTTGCCACCCATCGCAGCAACTCAGGGGGAGTTCCTATCTCCTGGCTTCAGTCTGGCCAAGTTCTGGCTATTATAGCATCTGAGGATTAAGTCAGTGCTGAAAATCTCTATTTCAGTCTCTCTCTTCCTCCTCCTTCTTCTGCTTTCCAAATATATAAATCTTTTTTAAAGCTTAAAAAAATAGAGCCAGCACTGTGGTACAGTGAGTTAAGCCACTGCTGATCTAGCTCCTTGTTACGGTGTCTGGAAAAATAGCAGAAAATGATGGGCACACTACTTGGACTTCTGCTGCCCATGCCAGAGACCCACATGGAGTCCCAGGCTCTTTGTTTTTGGCTGGGCCCAGCCCGGGCTACTGCAGCCACCTGGGGAATACTGGGGAGTGAACTAGTGGAGCGAACATCAAGCAATCACTCTTTCTCATTCTGTCTTTCAAATAAATAACATTGTTAATTAAAAAATAAAATGAAAAAGTGAACTGAAACCCACATGAGTCTGATAGAAGGACACACTTCCTGTCTCCTTGGAGGTAGAAGAAACAAGTCTAACTCCCAAGTCAGTAAACTATTCAACATAACATCTGATTCTTTAGCTTCACTCTGCACAGTGGTGCGGATCATGCCCTGCGGTGAAGGATCTCTGGTTACAGAGCCCTCCTCCCATGAGCAGCCCGACAACCCTCAACCCTCCATACATTTATGGTAGAAACGCCATGTCTGTGCACTGACATACTGCCTTGTGTCACAGTTGTCTAAGTAGGCATTCAACTCAGTGAGAAGGAATGAAACACCCTTTCCTGAGGCTCTGAAAACACTGAGTGTTCATGAAGTTTCTGTCTAGGAGGTCGTATGTGCCAGCCCGAATGTTGGTTGTCCTCAACAGCTCTGGAGGGAGAAATTCAAGGTTAAGGTGCTGGCAACGGTGGCTCTTTTTGAGGGACGGGAAGGAAAGGGGCAGTGCCAGGCCTCATGGATGACTATCTTCGCCCTGTGTCTGATGTCTCCACTCTAGACACATCTCTATAATCAATGCTATCATTTATGACACCAGTCATATGCCCACTGGATTTTAAATATCTCAGTTAAACTTGGTTACCTTTTATTTGTAAAGATTTGCCGACGGATTGATTTGAAAGACAACACGACAGAGAGAAGGAAAGACACACAGAGTGATATCCTGTGTCTGTTGGTTGACTGCCCAAATGGCTGCAATGGATCAGACAGGTGCAGGCCAAAGCCAGGGACCTGGAATACCATCCAGGCCAAGCTGTCAAATGCTGCCTTCCCAGGCACATCAGTGGGGAGTTGAATCAGAAGTAGAGCAGCTGGGTCTCAAATTGGCATTCTGATGTTGGATACCAGCATTGCATGCAGTGGTTCCACTTACAGCACTACACTACCAGCCTCCTATTAGTTCATATGATTTCATTTTAGACCCTGTCTCCAATTGGGCTACACTCTGAGGAACCAGGGTTTAGGATCCACATACAGATTTTTAAGGAGAGTGACAAAGCCATCAGTAACATCATCACTCGAAGTACAGAACACTAAACTGTGCCTCACACACAGCAGAGGTCCGAAGCAACGCCCTTAGAGTTCATGAAAGAGCATGACACAAACACCCACGAGTCTGTGCCAGGTCCTAGTCTAAGCACCTGAATTCTGATGTGAGAATTCACAGATTCCTCCTACTAGACTAGAGCAGAGATCTGAGGCTGAAGGAGATCCGCTGACTTGCACAGTGCCACACAGCAGGAAGCTGAGTCGGGATTCAAACCCAGGCCGACTGGCTCCAGAGCCTGCACTGCCTGCATCTCTCCCTTGCCTCTGCCACTCAGGCGCCTGTGGCATGAGGTGGGTTCTAAAACTGGGAGTTTCAGGCGCCAAAAAGGAGGAGCAAAGAATTCTTTAAGGAACAAAGCGAGTGTACATGGAAAGGAAATATTTCACGGGGATTTAAATGTATCCCCCTGGAGTCATTTAACAGAAATCAACCAAAGCCCTGCACAGCTCCCCAGATGGCATTTAAGCAAACCCAGAGTCCTTCTGTCTCTGGCTTTAATTAATAACCTCATTATGCCGCAGCAAAGTGAAAAGAAAAGATGACTGTTAATGAGTCCAGGTTAGTAAATAGTGCTAATGACCTAGTTATTATGCCTAATGCTTCAGAAATTCAGTCCCATCACGCTCAAGAGACATAATTGGCCAGATCACAAAGAATTAAGAAGCAAAGTTGCTCTTGTGTGTGTCGAGAAAGAGAAGCCAGAAGAAAGTTTGAGAACCAGATAGCTGGTCACCACGCGTATGGAGGGAGTGAAGGAGAAGCTTGAAGGAGAAGCCTCCGACTCCAAAGTGACACAGACTGCAGAGCTTCCTGCCACCCCAGCGGAAGGAGGGATGACTGCAGAGAAGTCACACGAGGTGGCAAGGCTCAATCAGCTCCCGTCCTGCAGACCTGGGTGTCTGGCACTATCTCCCCATCTTAGTTTATGAATAATTACAGCAAGCAAATGTCCGGGGTGCATGGTAGCAGACTTCTACTGGGCAAAGCAGAGAATCAAGGCAGCAAAGAAAAAGAGATTTCTTCTGTAGTTAACGTTCCAAAGACTTCAACAATCACAGGAATGAACACAGAAGTGGCTAAGACGTCTCTTCAAGGCGGTTTGATGGTTTTCTAGCAGTGTCTTTTAGAGAACAGTCATTTTTCATGAGTCTCATAGAAAATCTAGCAGACTACACTGTCTGTGTTCCCCACAGAGATAGGTCCAGTTCCCAAGCTCTGTTACTTGTGAAGGCAAAGTGTGGGGAAAATAGTACTATTTTTCCCAGACATAATTAAGGGTCTTGAGGTAATATATCCTGGATCGGGGTAATCCCTAAAGCAAATGACAAAGCTTCATGAGAGATGACAAAGGGGAACATAGACAAAGACATAGGAAAGAAGGCCATGTTAAGATGGAGGGCAGAGGTCAAGGTCATGCCCAGGAGCAGGTGCCATGGAAGAAGCCGGAAGAATCAAGGAAGGATTCACTCCCTGGAGACTGGATGGGGGTGTGTTGACATCTTCTTTTAGGATTTCTGGCCTCTGATTTCTAGATAATTGATTACTGTTGCTTTCAGCTCCTATTTTTGTTTTCATTTGTTATGGTGGTATCTTGCGTACCAAGTCGCTACTGCTAATTCAGTACTGCATTCAGGGCTGAAAGAAACAATGAGGACAGGTAAAGCTCCATTATTGACTTCACCAAATATATGCACTTATGCCTCTCTCTCTCTCTCACACACATACACACACAGACACAGAGTAACAAATGAGTTACTCACTAATACCAGAGAATATAATTATGAGAATCACTTAAGTTTTCCGCAGGAGTTAGCCTTATGGTTTCAAAGTCATTTTGTCCTCCAATGTCTCTGATACAATTCCTTTTCTAACGTGTACATCAGGCAGTGTGATGTGATTCAGCGAGTACTCCCAGAATTCAGTGGTTCAATGTCCCAGCTGATGAATTTGGTCAATAATTAACGGCTCTAAACCTCAATGTGACATTTCTGAAATGGAGACAGTGGGATCACTCAAATCTCATTTAGAAAGTTTTTATGAAGACTCAAGATTATGTTTATGAAACATCTATACAAGTCTGGGACAAAGCAACAGCGCCTCTGTAATCTATCATCATTTTCAAATACTTCATTCTCTTAGTAAACGGAAAGTCTCAAAAATTATATAACCAGAAAGAGAGAAATTCCCTCCAACATTTAAAATACACAGCTGAGGAATAAAATATAAAGCTCTCTGCTTATGGCTGCAGTGAAGCTGCAGGGGCTGTATTTACACACCTATCTTAAGCAAGGAGAAAACCAGATAGAATACATTAAAAGTCTCACTTTTCAGCCATTAGACAACAGGCATTTCAGGAATACAATCCCTGACAGAAAGGAAGCCAAGGAAGTGATCCCTGTAATTCTGCAGGCTTACTACCTGGAGATGCTAATCAGGCTGCAAGGCAGCGTGGGAAGGGCCAACGGAGCTCATCAGCCTTACGGAGATGAGGCTACAGAGACAGAAATTCCAGGGAGCTGGGGGAAGAGAATCTGTGCAGGAAGAGACGGTGCGGCACTGAATAAGAACTCCTAGGGTCTGAAAGCATGCGGCTGAAGATTGATCAGAGCATGCAAAAAAGCCAATGACCCAAGACCAGGAAATGAACCAGCAGAAAACAGGAGCCTCGGCAATCTCCAGGGCCCACACATGTCCTCACCAGCTAGCACACACAAAGTGCTCACACTTGTGGGATTAAAACATCCTTGGGGGGGCCTGGCGCGGTGGCGCAAGTGGTTAAGGTCCTCGCCTTGTACACCCGGGATCCCATATGGGTGCCGGTTCTATCCCGTCCCAAATCAAGTGGAATGATTTACCATTTTGTCTAAGTGTGTCCCAAGGAAAGCTTTTCAAAGCAAGGCATGAATGGGTCACTCTTACTGCATCCCAGAGCAAAGCACACCACTATTTAAAGGAATATAGCCAAATCCAGCACCCAACACACAAAATTCACAATGTTAGTGATGTCATTCAGTCATAAACAGGTATGCAAAGACACAGGGAAACAGGATCATAAGAAGGATTCAGAAATGAAAGATGAGGG